CAGGCTGAAATCCAGGAAAGGCATTTGCTGCATGAGACTTCTCATGTTGAAGGCAGTGAGTTGGCAGAAAGAAGGAGGGAGCTTGGGAAGCAGACAGAAAAATCAGCAGTATGGGGTTCGACTGATGGTCAGTGGGGTAGAGTCCAGGCAGAACTGGTGGCTCCCAGACAGCTGCTGCTGGTCACTGACCAGAGACAGGAGGAAACAAGTCCTAAGAGCACACAGAAATCCCTCCTGGTCCCCCCACCCCCACCCCGAGCACAGGTTCCTCCTGTAAGGCAAGTACACTTGTGGTTTGAACAAACACTGTGGACAGAGTTTGGGTAATTTCTTGGAAGCCTCAGTGCTAAAGTCTATTACTTTGAAACTGGTAACTAGGCTGCAAAAACAGTGTCTAAAGCATGACTTAAAGACTGAATGTGTCAGGCCTTATCTACGCTGAGGTTTTGTAGGGCAAAGCCCCCAAGAAACAGCAGACAGTAATGAGTCCCTCCCATCCTTTCACTGCTGCCTTATGTGTGACTTTGGCTTCTCCTCATCTCACACCAGCATGCAGTAAATTCCTCTGACCTGTCACATTTATCTTTCAAAGTTCCTCTGACCTGTCACATTTATCTTTGAATGTGACTGCTCAAGGAAGTGGAGCATTCTCTTCTCTTTTCCTTCCCTTTCAGCTCAGAAGAGCCTCTTCCTCTTTCATAAGATTATAATGAACTCAGAATCTGTTGTATGCATTTTTTCCATGATTTTATGAAAAATTCAAGCCAACTTTTTACCTGCCTGCAGTGTGAGATGCTAGAATTGAGAGAATGAGAGGGGAAAGGCTTGTCAAACCAATGACTGCATTTAACTTACATTGCTTGTTTCTCCCTCTCCTTGGAGAGATGTACAAATGAAAATTCAAGAGCTCAGAATAAAAAAGCCTGGCTAGGTAAGAGGGTGGCATTAGCAACAAAATGGGAAAGGACATTTTGTTTGTGTCGCAACAGGATCTATTTTTAAGAGCTTGTTGTATGTTTCATGTCATAAAATCACTTCTGGGATTATTTTTTCTAAAAAAACCAATAAAATATAATGTTCATGCCCACTGCAGAGAGCACTAAAATAGTCCACTCCAGCCACTTCAGACAGGATGTATGGAAACAATCAGTGTCAGTCTGAGGTAGGAACAAAGAGAGGCAACTATCTGATGACGCAGAATAAAGAGAGAGAATAGCTGGATTTTGCTCAAGTAGATTGAAAGAGCCAGTGGCATTGGAAGGATTATTAGGGATGATGGAAGTGATAATTTATTTGACCTAGTAACTGCTCTAATTAGTG